AGATCGAAAAAAAAAAGTGAAAAGACTCAATTTCTAACATCGAACTCAAAAGAAATAGTTAAATATCAAAGCTGCAGCTACGGAGATGTCGAGGCAAATGTATGACAGGAGGAAACTAAAACTTGAAAAAGAAATTCGGCTTGAAAAATGCGGGATAATAAAAGCTCTTAAGAAGAAATGCATTTAAAAAAAATGGCGGTGGAAAGATGGACTGACAGAAATGCAGAGACACAACTAAAGAATAAGTGACATGAGCATTTGCCGTTATCATGAGGTAATGAAGATTGTTTCGAGCGAGAAAGAAATCAACAGAATATTGTGCAGCAGTTATTTGTGAACATTTCTATTGTAAACTTTGGATTCTTAGTAATAAAATTTTGAGAGACAACACAAGCCAGTAAGAATCTTTTAAAAAAAAACTTGTATAAGAAAATATATATTTTTAACAAAGTATATACAAGAAAACAGAGAAAATATATATATATATATATATATATATATATATATATATATATATATATATATGTATATTATTAGTGGTAAATATACATACGTATGCGGAATATATAAATAACCACACATGTATATTTTAGAATAAAATTCCAAGAGGAAGAATCCAGGTAGAACTCAATGTCCAGGACAGAGTAAGGATATAATAAAAAGGCTTAAACACTAATATTCCATGGTCATAATTTATTCCATTGGAATCGTAAATACACAGAGAATTTTAGGAGAGATGGGTGGAAGGGGTTTAAGTAAGAGAAAAATTAATGCTGTCAGAAGTGTAACCTCTCCTAATAAATTTCTGCCGTATTAGTTCTTATTTTTACTACAAGCTTACGTCTGTTCCTACAGACATCTTCAGGTATAGAATAGATGTTGTTCTTGTTTTTTCTCTTAGTAATAAGAGGACAACGAAAATATATGTATATATATCCGAAAATGCTATTGGAAATGAGTTATTGTTTTTGGAGCGCGCAGTAGCAACGCTGAGTTTGATTTTAAATTTTTTAAAGGTTGTGCGTTCATATAAAATATGGTGATGAACAAATTTTTTACTGGTAAATTTTCTGTCAAAGTGGCATGAACTATATTGTTCAATAATTACAGTAATGTCGCACTTATTATCCAAAAGTCGCACTTGGATCAGTTATTTTAATTTCGATAAACGTGCAATCAATTTACAAATTCATGAATTATTCACACAAAAACAAATGCAAAGGTTAATGATTTAATTGGCGAGACATCCATCATCGCAAACAATTCAAGTAATATACAAAAACCTCCGAATCCGTTATAGGTTTTTGTATATTATTTGAATTTGCCGTGCTGATGTTGCTACATGCCTTACTTCTTGCCTATCTTACACTGCGAATTTTTTCGAAGCTCTATACTAAACATTAAATCTGTTACAAAAAAAAAGAACTAAACAAAATGAACACAAAAGGATCAGCTTTAAAAAAGGGCTCGTAACTGGAAAAACCGAATGAAAAAAGAATGTTAACAACAAATACTTTTTCACACCCAACCCAGTTCTGCGGAATCAGAATCAACGTTGAGTTTAAGCAAGCGAATGAGCCAAATGGAGTAAAGTGCGATGCAGATTTAAATTTTTCCCACTTGTGACGAATGCAGCTATCGACTTTTTTTTTTTTGCATGCTAGCATGCTATTTAACATTCGTGTCAGTCATCTGTTGGCTCTCACGCTGGCCAATAGAATCTTCCTGCCTATTCGTTGCAGCCAGCTATAGGCTATCACTCTGGCCAGTAGAAAATGGCCGCAAACTACATGAAAACTGCCGGAGAAGCATGGATTATTTCCACTATCGATGGGAGTTGCGAAATGCAAATTCCGTGCTGGCCTTTCCCGCTAACTTGGAGCATGTGCATGTAAATTTTGGTGCAAATCCGTCGAAAATTGCAGCCGTGCATTCGTTACACACACACAAACACACACACGCACATATATATATATATATATATATATAGATATATATATATATGTAATTATTTTTTTAAAATGATTCCATAGCTACATAAGAGTTCTCATGTTTCAAAAACAGAAGCTAAAAACGTCAATTTAATTATAAAAATTAAATTCAGTTAAAGTACTCAGCTCTGTTTCATCCTCAAGCGAATTTTGGAATGAGTAATCTTTAAAAAATAACGATCACTTACGCTCTACTCATGTATTGAGCACTGATTTTTTGCACTGACGCACACACACACACACACATATATATATATATATATATATATATATATATATATATATATATATATATATATATACTAGAAAGACCTGTGAAAAAGTTTCAACGTTCTTCCCATTAGAATTTCCTGATAAATCGTGATACTTAACTGATTGAGTAAACGCATAGTCAGTTCTACGACAATAAGACATCTGTAGAATTTCCCTTATCGCGTCGTTAAATATTCGAGCTGAACATCTTTGACAGAATATTGCAATAACACCCATAAACATGAATTCAGTTCGTTATTTTAAGAAGTGGGTACAAATGAAAAGATTTGATATAACATCGTTTTTTTTTCCATTTCGCTAAAACAGCCTTTAAATCCCTCTATCTTTTCTTCTTTCCTTCTTTCTTACTGAAACCAAGTAGCGTCTCTGATATCTATTTCGTGTTATATATATATATATATATATATATATATATATATATATATATATATATATTATTTTGAAATTATTTTTTTTATGTTTATACGTTTATAAATACAAATATTTAAGAAAATGCTATGTTTTTAATAAACTGTATTAACACATTTACCGAGAAATTTTTAAAAAAAAACATGCGTCACCCGACAGGAATCGAACCTGTATCCTTAACCGATTGAGCCACAGAGGAGAGTTCGGTTAGCAAGGTCTAATTTTCTGTTTTTAAACACAATTCTCCATGATTTTCTATCATTCATTCACATCTGCTCAATGCGTATCCAAATGTAAACAAATGACGTCATACATTATGAAATAGACAAAATCCGACAATTATTTTTTAAGACATTTTTTTTATGCTTATACGTTCTTTTTTTATAGATACAAATATTTAAAAAAATGCTCTGTTTATAATAAAGATTAAGGCACGTCAGGCTATATGACGGTTCTGTATAGGATAGAGGTTCGATTCCTTTCGAAGGACGTATATTTGCTATGACAATTTCTCGGACATTCAGGCTGGAAAATGTTATTAATACTGTTTATTATAAACAGAGTATTTATCTAAATATTTGTACCTATAAAATGAACGTATAAACATAAAATGTCTTATATATATATATATATATATATAAAATATATATATATATATATATATATATATATATATATATATATATACAGAAAAAACAAACAAAATCTTAATATGCAATTATGCTGTATTAATGTTAATATAATGTCAACGTCGGACGTTTTGGTCTATTTTAGAGCATCATCAGTACATATTCATAAAACATAATTAACATTAGAACATCATCTTCGAATACGTTTTCACAACATCGCCCACGTGACGACGACGTGATCATATTTAAATGGAACGCTGATCTTATATAAAAATTTCAATTATCTGTTTGGATTAGTCGTTCTCTTTGCGTTCATCGTCTTTTTCTTATGTTGAATTTGAACATGTTCTAGTGTTAATTATGTTTAATGAATATATTCTGATGATGGTTCAAGCCAGACCGAAACGTCCGACGTTGACATTATATTAACATTAATACAGCATAATTGCATATTAAGATTTTTGTTTGTTTTTTTCTGTATATTTTTCTTCATACTGTCGGATCTATATCCATATATTTATATATATATATATATATATATACATATAGAGAGAGAGAGAGAGAGAGAGAGAGAGACAGACAGACAGACAGACAGACAGAGAAAGAGATGTCAGATTATGTCTTTTAACATAAAGTATTCGCCCACAGCCTAGATTGCTTTATCTCGTCTGAAACAATGCTTAAAACCAACCCACAAATAAGCTAAAACAATAAATATCTGTAATAAAGACGTTATTAAAACCAACAATAATATTACATGAAAACGAATTTCTCTTTTTCTTTTTCCTTCAGTCTCCCTCCATAATGAATACGCCGCAATTGATTTTTCTTAAATGTATTTTCAAACACCGAAACGCAAGTAAATAATAATTTACTCTGGCCTAAAGGAAGTGAATCCAATCTGAAATTACCCGCTTCGAAGATGGCTATCAAACAATTAGAAAAGCACGCATGCGCAGTGAGGTTTATCAGTTTGGGAAGAAACTTTTGTTTTTGTGTACGGCGAGTGAAATATATTTAGGCGAATTTGTGTCTATGTTTGTCTCTGACTTCGCCTTGCGCGCCCGTCTGGGAAGGTGTGAGTCTGTTTAGCTGTAGACGTAGACTGCTTGTTATGTGTGTCAGTGTTTCCACTCGGTGTCCATCGATCGAGAGATTGCATGCCGAAGAAAATAAAGGAATGAGAAATGCCAGTCTGAAAGAAAGAAAGAAAGAAAGAAAGAAAGAAAGAAAGAGGATACAGTTGGAAGAGAGAGGATCAAAGAAAGAAAGAAAGAATGGTGTTACTGATCAAAGAAAGAAAGTTTGAAAGAAAGAAAGAAAAAGGTTACGATAGGTAGAGAGATGATCAAAGAAAGAAAGAGCATACAGATAAAAGAAAGTTCGAAAGAAAGTTCGAAAGAAAGTTCGAAAGAAAGAAAGTTCGAAAGAAAGAAAGAAAGAAAAAAGAGGTTACGGTAGAAAGAAAGAAAGTTCGAAAGTTCGAAAGAAAGAAAGTTCGAAGGAAAGAAAGAAAGAAAGAAAGAAAGAAAGAAAGAAAGAAAGAAAGAAAGAACGTTCGAAAGAAAGAAAGAAAGAAAGAAAGAAAGAAAGAAAGAAAGAAAGAGGATACGGTTGGAAGAGAGATGATCAAAGAAAGAAAGAAAGAATGGTGTTACGGATCAAAGAAAGAAAGAAAGTTTGAAAGAATGTTCGAAAGAAAGAGAGAAAGAAAGAAAGAAAGAAAGAAAGAAAGAAAGAAAGAAAGAAAGAAAAAAGAGGTTACGATAGAAAGAAAGAAAGTTCGAAAGTTCGAAAGAAAGAAAGAAAGAAAGAAAGAAAGAAAGAAAGAACGTTCGAAAGAAAGAAAGAAAGAAAGAAAGAAAGAAAGAAAGAAAGAAAGAAAGAAAGAAAGAAAGAAAGAGGATACGGTTGGAAGAGAGATGATCAAAGAAAGAAAGAAAGAATGGTGTTACGGAGCAAAGAAAGAAAGAAAGTTTGAAAGAATGTTTGAAAGAAAGAAAGTTTGAAAGAAAGAAAGAAAGAAAGTTCGAAAGAAAGAAAGAAAGAAAGAAAGAAAGAAAGAAAGAAAGAAAAAGAGGTTACGAAAAGAAAAAAAGAGGAAAGTTTGAAAGTCTGAAAGAAAGAAAGAAAAGAAAGAAAGAAAGAAAAGAAAGAAAGAAAGAAAGAAAGAAAGAAAGAAAGAAAGAAACGAAAGAAAAGAAAGAAAAGAAAGTCTGGAAAGAAAGAAAGAAAAGAAATCAAAGAAAGAAAGAAAGAATGGTGTTATGGATCAAAGAAAGAAAGAAAGAAAAGAAAGAAAAAAGAAAGTTGAAAAGAAAAAGAAAGAACGATAGGTAGAGAAAGAAAGAAAGAAAAAGAAAGAAAGAAAGTCTGAAAGAAAGAAAGAAAGAAAGGATGGTTGGAAGAGAGATGATCAAAGAAAAGAAAGAAAGAAAAAAAGAGGTTACGGATCAAAGAAAGAAAGAAAGTCTTCAAAGAATGTTTGAAAGAAAGAAAGAAAGAAAGAAAGAAAGAAAGAAAGAAAGAAAGAACGTTGGAAAGAAAGAAAGAAAAAAGTGAAAGAAAGAAAGAGAGATGATCAAAGAAAGAAAAGAGAATGACAGAAAAAAAGAAAGATCAAAGAAAGAAAGAAAGAAAGAAAGTCTCGAAAGAAAGAAAAGAAAGAAAGAAAGAAAGAAAGAAAGAAAGAAAGAAAGAAAGAAAGAAAAAAAGAGGTTATGAAAGTCTGAAAGAAAAGAAAGAAAGAAAAAGAAAGTTCGGTAGAAAGAAAGAAAGAAAGAAAGAAAAAAAAGAAAGAAAGAAAGAAAGAAAGAAAAGAAAGAAAGAAAGAGAGGAAAGAAAGAAAAAAAAGAAAGAAAGAAAGAAAGAAAGAAAGAAAAAAGAGGATACGGTTGGAAGAGAGATGATCAAAGAAAGAAAGAAAGAATGGTGTTACGGATCAAAGAAAGAAAGAAAGTTTGAAAGAATGTTCGAAAGAAAGAAAGTTCGAAAGAAAGAAAGAAAGAAAGAAAGTTCGAAAGAAAGAAAGAAAAAAGAAAGAAAGAAAAAAAACGATGGTAGAAACTTCTAAAGTTGGAAAGAAAGAAAGAAAGAAAAAAAAAAAGGACGGAAGAAAGAAAGAAAGAAAGAAAGAAAGAAAGAAAGAAAGAAAGAACGAAAGAAAGAAAGAAAGAAAAAAAAAGAAAGAAAGAAAAGAAAGAAAGAAAAAAAGAAAGCAAAAAGAACTGAAAGAAAGAAAAAGAAAGAAAGAAAGAAAAAAAGGAGAACGGTTGAAAAGAGAGATGATCAAAGAAAAAAAAGAAAGAATGGTGAAAACGGATCAAAGAAAAAAACGAAAGAAAGAATGTTTGAAAGAAAGAAAGTTTGAAAAAAAAGAAAGAAAGAAAGAAAAGAAAAAAAAAAGAAAGAAAAAGAAAGAAAGAAAGAAAGAAAGAAAGAAGAAAGAAAAAATAACTGCAAATAACTGAAAAACGGAATAAAACATAGAAAGAAAAAACGAAAGAAAAGGTTACTGAAAAAAGTGAAATGATCAATGGTGAAGAAAGAAAGAAAGAAAGAAAGAAAGAAAGAAAAGAAGAAAGAAAGAAAGAAAAAAGAAAAGAAAGAAGAAAGAAAAAATCTACAAATAACTGCACGGAATAAACATAGAAAGAAAAACGAAAAGAAAAACGTTACTGCTGTAAGTGAAATGATCAGTGAAGAAAGAAAGAAAGAAAGAAAGAAAGAAAAGAAAGAAAGAAAGAAGAAAGAAGAAAGAAAGAAAGAAAGAAGAAAGAAAAAATCTACAAATAACTGCACGGAATAAACATAGAAAGAAAAAACGAAAGAAAAAGGTTACTGCTGTAAGTGAAATGATCAGTGAAGAAAGAAAGAAAGAAAGAAAGAAAGAAAAAAGAAAGAAAGAAAGAAAGAAAGAAAGAAAGAAAGAAAAGAAAGAAAGAAGAAAGAAAAATCTACAAATAACTGCACGGAATAAACATAGAAAGAAAAAACGAAAGAAAAAGGTTACTGCTGTAAGTGAAATGATCAGTGAAGAAAGAAAGAAAGAAAGAAAGAAGAAAGAAAGAAAAAATCTACAAATAACTGCACGGAATAAACATAGAAAAAAAAAACGAAAGAAAAAGGTTGAACTGCTGAAGAAGTGAAATGAAAAGAAAGAAAGAAAGAAAGAAAGAAAGAAAGAAAGAAAAGAAAGAAAGAAAAAGAAAGAACAAATAACTGCACGGAATAAAAAACATATAGAAAGAAAAAAACGAAAGAAAAAGGTTACTGCTGTAAGTGAAAATGATCAGTGAAGAAAGAAAGAAAAGAAAGAAAGAAAGAAAGAAAGAAAGAAAAAGAAAGAAAGAAAGAAAGAAAAGAAAGAAGAAAGAAAAAAATCTACAAATAACTGCACGGAATAAAACATAGAAAGAAAAAAACGAAAGAAAACGTTACTGCTGTAAGTGAAATGATCAGTGAAGAAAGAAAGAAAAAGAAAAAAGAAAGAAAGAAAGAAAGAAGAAAAAAAAAAATCTACAAATAACTGTAACGGAATAAAACATAGAAAGAAAAAAACGAAAGAAAAAGGTTACTGCTGTAAGTGAAATGATCAGTGAAGAAAGAAAGAAAGAAAGAAAGAAAGAAAGAAAGAAGAAAGAAAAAAAGAAAGAAAGAAAGAAATAAAAAAAAAAAAGAAAGAAAAAGGAAAGAAAAAATCTAGTGAAGAAAAAAACTGCACGGAATAAAACAAAGAAAGAAAAAAAAAGAAGAAAGAAAACGGTTACTGCAAATAACTGTGAAATGATAAAATATGAAAGAAAAAAAAAAGAAAAAGAAAGAAAGAAAGAAAGAAGAAAGAAAGAAAGAAAGAAAGAAAGAAAGAAAGAAAGAAAAAAAAAGAAAATCTACAAATAACTGCATGGAATAAAACATAGAAAAAAAAAACGAAAGAAAAAAGGTTACTGCTGTAAGTGAAATGACAGTGAAGAAAGAAAGAAAAAAGAAAAAGAAAGAAAGAAAGAAAAGAAAGAAAGAAGAAAAGAAAAATCTACAAATAACTGCACGGAATAAACATAGAAAGAAAAAACGAAAGAAAAGGTTACTGCTGTAAGTGAAATGATCAGTGAAGAAAGAAAGAAAGAAAGAAAGAAAAGAAAGAAAGAAAGAATGAAGAAAGAAAAAAAAATCTACAAATAACTGCACGGAATAAAACATAGAAAGAAAAACGAAAAGAAAAAGGTTACTGCTGTAAGTGAAATGATCAGTGAAGTGAAAGAAAAAGAAAGAAAGAAAGAAAGAAAAAAGAAAGAAAGAAAGAAGAAAAGAAAAAAAAATCTACAAATAACTGCATGGAATAAACATAGAAAGAAAAAAACGAAAGAAAAAAGGTTACTGCTGTAAGTGAAATGATCAGTGAAGAAAGAAAGAAAGAAAGAAAGAAAGAAAGAAAGAAAGAAAGAAAGAAAGAAAGAAAGAAAGAAAGAAGAAAGAAAAATCTACAAATAACTGCATGGAATAAACATAGAAAGAAAAAACGAAAGAAAAAGGTTACTGCTGTAAGTGAAATGATCAGTGAAGAAAGAAAGAAAGAAAGAAAGAAAGAAAGAAAGAAAGAAAGAAAGAAAGAATGAAGAAAAAAAAAATCTACAAATAACTGCACGGAATAAACATAGAAAAAAAAAACGAAAAAAAAAGGTTACTGCTGTAAGTGAAATGAAATGAAGAAAGAAAGAAAGAAAGAAAGAAAGAAAGAAAGAAAGAAAGAAAGAAAGAAGAAAGAAAAATCTACAAATAACTGCACGGAATAAAAATAGAAAAGAAAAAACGAAAGAAAAAGGTTACTGCAAGTGAAATGATCAGTGAAGAAAAAAGAAAGAAAGAAAGAAAGAAAGAAAGAAAGAAAGAAAGAAAGAAAGAAGAAAGAAAAATCTACAAATAACTGCACGGAATAAACATAGAAAGAAAAAACGAAAGAAAAAAGGTTACTGTAAGTGAAATGATCAGTGAAGAAAGAAAGAAAGAAAGAAAGAAAGAAAGAAAGAAAAAAAAGAAAGAAAAAAATCTACAAAAGCAATGGAAAAAAGAAAGAAAGAAAAAAGAAAGAAAAACTGCAAATAACTGCAGGAAGAAAGAAAAACAAAGAAAGAAAAAAGAAAGAAAAAAGGTTACTGAAAAAAAAAGTGAAATGATCAGTGAAGAAAGAAAGAAAAGGTTAAAGAAAAAAAGAAAGAAAGAAAGAAAGAAAGAAAGAAAGAAAGAAAGAAGAAAGAAAAAAATCTACAAATAACTGTAACGGAATAAACATAGAAAAAAAAAAACGAAAGAAAAAGGTTACTGCTGTAAGTGAAATGATCAGTGAAGAAAGAAAGAAAGAAAGAAAGAAAGAAAGAAAGAAAGAAAGAAAGAAAAGAAAGAAATGAAAAAGAAAAAATCTACAAATAACTGCACGGAATAAACATAGAAAGAAAAAACGAAAGAAAAAGGTTACTGCTGTAAGTGAAATGATCAGTGAAGAAAGAAAGAAAGAAAGAAAGAAAGAAAGAAAGAAAGAAAGAAAGAAGAAAGAAAAAATCTACAAATAACTGCACGGAATAAACATAGAAAAAAAAACAAAAGAAAAGGTTACTGCTGTAAGTGAAATGACTAGTGAAGAAAGAAAAAGAAAGAAAGAAAGAAAGAAAGAAAGAAAAGAAAGAAAGAAAGAAGAAAGAAAAA